TAATTATTTATTTTAGTTTCAATTTCCTTTCTTTTCATGTTATAGATAGGCTTTTAGCTTGAGATGAAGTTGTTATAAGGATTGAAAGAGTGCTTGTTCCTGCACTTATATCTGAGGTATCTTAATGTCTTGCTAGGGGCCATGTCGAATGGCCTGGATTCGAGTGGATGCATGTCGACTGCCTTCCTGATTTGATACAGCTATCGTGCTTGTTACCTCAGAAAGAAGATAATTTAAGGAATCGAACAACAAAGGTTTCATCGACTGATTGGTGTTTCTATTGTCTGGGACACGTGTGTTTTTGTCTTTTGTTTATTATTTTGAAGATAGTACCCATTACTTACTGTGGTGTTGCAGTTCTTATTGGCTGTATCTGAGCATTTTGGAGATTCCTATCTGACACACATAATGCTACCAGTATTCTTGGTAGCAGTTGGCGATGATGCTGATATGACGTTCTTACCAAATACAGTTCATCCAAGAATAAAAGGTATTATAAATTCACAGGTTCTTCAGCTAAATTGTCCTCATTGCATGGTTACTAATTGTTGCTTGACTGCAGGCTTGAGACCAAGAACTGCTGTCAGTGAGAGACTCGCTACTATGTGTGTCCTACCCCTTCTCTTAGCAGGTGTCCTTGGCACGCCCAGTAAGCGTGAACAGTTAACAAACTACTTGAGAAAACTATTAGTTGAAGGCAATGGAAAGGATAATCAGGCTTCCAAACACAGTACAGAGATTGCTGATGCAGTCCGTTTCCTTTGGTTTGTATATTAAATATCTTCCAGCACTACTTATATGTAATTTATTCTTTACTGATGGGCTTTGTCCTTAATGTAGCACATTTGAAGTACATCATAGTATGATATTCAATATTTTGTGGGAAATGGTTGTTAGCTCAAACATGGAATTGAAAATCAACGCAGCCAATTTGTTCAAAGTTATTGTAAGCTTTTGACATCTTCAATTTGTTTATTTCATTTTCTCCTTGTGTCAAGACTTAAGCTACTTCATTTGTTTGAGTTGTCACAGGTGCCATACATTGACGCAAAAATTGCTTCTACCCATGTTTTGCCTGCTCTTGTTACCCTTGGCTCTGACCAAAACCTGAATGTAAAGTATGCAAGCATAGATGCATTTGGACCGGTGGCTCAACACTTTAAAAATGAAATGGTGTGGCTTTTTGGTTCTTAAATGTTTATATTAGCAGCTCTCTTTTGATGAATTATATGTATGGTCTGGGTAGAGATGTGATTGTGTAGCTGATTAAATTGCACATCAAGCAGATTGTTGATAAAATACGTGTTCAAATGGATGCTTTCCTTGAAGATGGATCTCATGAAGCTACTGTTGCCGTGGTCCGAGCATTGTTAGTAGCTATTCCACATACGACAGAGAAACTTAGGGATTATATCCTCAAAATTTTTGAAAATTACTTGGAAATTGTTAAATAAATTCTGTTTTTAGCCACATTAATATTCTGTCAATGGCCGCCAATGATAAGTCATTTTCTGTTTATTTCTTTAACAATGATATACATCTTTTGTCCAAGATTTTCCAACTTTCAGCAAGTCCTAGTTCTGCAAGTGATGTGATGCGGAGGCGCGAGAGAGCTAATGCATTCTGTGAAGCAATTCGTGCTCTTGACGCTACAGGTTTGACTTTTTCATGATCCTCACTAGTCTTATGCCTTCTAAATTTTTAACACAAAAGGACGCCCAACCTTTCTTGCTGTCCCTTTCACCTCTTTTGATGTATTTCTGAGTATTAACAAACATCATTTCGAGGTTTATTATTATGTTTTAGATGATAATATTACTAATGACAGCAAAAACACTCCAGTTGTAGCTATACCATCTATGGTGAATGTGGTTCTGAAACTTTTTATAGGTTCGTCTTGTTTTCTGATGACTGGATTCTGCTTGCAGATCTTTCTCCAACTAGCATCCGGGAATTCCTTCTTCCTGCCATACAAAACCTTTTGAAAGACCCCGATGCGGTGGACCCCGCTCACAAGGAAGCCTTAGAAATAATAACAAAGGAAAGATCCGGCGGAACTTTTGAGGCTATCAGTAAGGCGATGGGAGCTCATCTCGGGCTTGCATCATCAGTGACCAGTCTCTTCGGCGAAGGCGGACTTCTAGGGAAGAAAGAAAGTGCAGAGTCGACAGTGGAGCCAGCTGAAACCCCAGAGATGGTTCCCCTACCTCCACCCGCTGAAGACACTAGATTCAGGCGTATCATGAGGGGAAACTTTACTGACATGCTCAGGGGTAAGGACTCGAGATGAAAACACAACATAACTTGTTTTCTATGGAGTAAAGACATTGGATAATGCTTTCTAGCATCCCATTTATGAAATTGCTGAGCCCGATCCAAGATTTTTTTTCATTTTTTTTTTTACATAATTCTTTTTTTTTTCCCCAAGCGCTTCATGTAACAGGAAAAATAAGAAACAAAAGAAATGGCGGCATTGCTGCTCTGTTGTTGATTTATAGTTAGTGGCTGCAAGTGAATCGTCTCCATGGTTCTTTGCTGAAAGATTCTTGATAGTGTTCTGCAATTCCAGAAATCTTCATGAGCAGGTTAATGGTTCTTTTTTAAGTATTTTTTACAAGGTTATTTTCTGTTTAAATACTTATTACTTAAATATGTAAAACAATATGTTTATATTAGCAACAGATTTTTTTTTTTATTTTTTTTTTTAATTTAAAAATCTTCCATATTTTTTCATATATTAAATATTAGGTATATAAGAAATATTTAAAAAAAAAAGAAAAGCTGTTTATATATATGTATTATTGATTAATAATTAACGAAAATATATAAATTTCTAGTGGAGAAAATAATCTTCTATAAGTCCAAAACTGGTCCTGGAATTCAACAGCGAATATTCCACCATTAACTAAAAAAAAAAAGGAAAAAGAAAAAACGTTGTTAAGATGAGTTGATCACATTTTTTTGAAGAACCCTACTAATTTAATTACAATTTTATGATTCCATTTCTGGGATGCTGTCTCCTCCGCAGTCTCAAAGGACACTTCCGCTCTCACAGCCACAAAAACTCACAATGTACAAAATAATATTTTATTCTCAATCTGACTCAACAATGGCGTCTCTTTCTCCCCTTTTCTAGTTTCTAACAACGACATCATATCACACTACGAAACCACATTCATCAATCAACGCTAACAGAATCACCTGGTCAACACAAAGAAGACAGAGAAGAAGAAGAAGACCAAATGACTCCACTTGGGTCTGCTCTCGTTCCTGCAACTTGCTCCTTCTCCTTCTTCTTTCCCTCGTCAGCTCAAAAGCTCCCTAAAAGCTCACAGACCCACCAACAGCTTCCCAAGATTTGCGTCGCTGCGAGCTCCGGCGACGGCCAGCTACTGACGAGTGATGAACCAGCGGTTGCTGAAAGGACGAGCTTCGGATTGAGGAGCTTGATTAAGACTTTCTGGGTGGATGTGGAGAGAGCGGAAGGCAGGGCGCTGAATGTGAAGCTCAATGCGGCGGTGGGGATGGAGTGGGAGAAGGTGGAAAATGTGGGAGTTAGAGTTGAGCTGAGTAATGGATGTGTTGGGTGGGGAGAGGTGGCGGTGCCGCCTGACGTTAATGGGTCTGGAAATCAAGCAACGGCGTTGGTGAACGTGAAGGAGGCTTGTGATTTTTTGAGGCAGACTTCGCCCATGACACTGAATTTGGTTCTTGCGGAGATTGATCGGATTCTTCCCGGCCTTCAATTTGCTTCTGTGAGTATAAAATGTACACACACACACACACACGCCTATATCATGAATTGATGAATGCATATCTATATATATGTATGTATGTAATCTGTAGAGTGATTAGATATCTATATGGTAATTCATTAAATGAATTAGTTTAATGCGTGTTGAAGGTCAGGGCTGGAGTAGAAATGGCATTGATTGATGCAATTGCTAACAGTATTGATGTTCCTCTCTGGAGATTATTTGGTGGGTTCTCCAATTCCATATCATCAGCTGTAACAGTTAAGTCTCCTCCTCATTATGACTTGTTCATTTTCATTTTCATGTCTAATATAAGATTTTAATTATTGTCATGCAATCTGATTAACACAGAAGATAATGTATGAGGTTTGATTAAATCAACCTACTCTACAATAGGAAATAAAAAGAATTTTAAAGATTCTGAATGTGTTCTCATTAAGAAATTAATTATATTGCTTCCTTATTGTAAGACTCATCATCATGTCATTGTATACAAGTACTGCTTAATTATGGAAATGTATAAATTTATACTCAAAAAAGTATAATTAATTTGTTTAAGTATTGCAGATTTCAGCAATCTCTCCAGGTAAAGCTATTGAGTTGGCTTCTAAGTATCGCTTACGAGGATTCAACACCTTCAAGCTTAATATGGGAAGTGATATAAATAGAGATATAGAGGTTTTTCAAGCTATAAAGGCAGCTCATCCCCTTTGTTCCTTTATCTTTGATGCAAATCAAGCTTACATTTCAAAACAAGCTATTGATGTCCTTGACAAGCTGCATGGTATGAATATTCTACTCCCTGTTTATTTCATTCCTATTCTTTTTTCACTCGTTTTCTAAACCTCAGGTACTTGATACATCAAACTAATCATAATTTTCGCAATCTCGGGTATGCACTCTAGGCATCGAGGCTTTTTTTTAGTCCTCATGCTTGGCTACCCATATTGGGTTAGTTGTGTTTTTATGCATATAACTCATTAGGAACTATAACTCTACATCAATCAAGAATCTGCAAATATCTAAACATATTGGACGAGTCTACAGAGCAATATATGATTTTGAGGTATATATTGCAGAATTTGGTGTGCTTCCTGTTGTTTTTGAGCAACCTGTGAAAAGAAATGACTGGAAAGGTCTCGGTGAAGTGAGTAGAATTGCCAGAAATACATATGGAGTATCTGTTTCTGCAGATGAAAGTTGCCAGAATTCAAATGATGTTGAGAAAATAATAAAGGAGAAATTGGCTGATGTGATCAACATCAAATTATCCAAATTTGGGGTTCTTGGGGCCCTCGAAATTATCAATTTAGCCAGAAAATCAAACCTTAATCTCATGATAAATAGCATGATTCAGACCAGACTTGCCACAGGCTTTGCTGCTCATATGGCTGCTGGTCTTGGCTGCTTCAAGTAAATTTTTTCATTCAATTTCAATTCTACTTCTTAATTTTTCTTCTTAAATTTATGTGGGTAACTTCTTTTCTTCCAGATATGTCAATCTAGACACTCCTTTTCTGATGGCAGAGGATCCAGTTATTGGGGGTTACGAAGGTCTCCATCTTTCAGCTTCAAGATTTTGAAATCATACAAATATATTTTTATATAAAGATTTGAAATCTTAACTTCCCTAATTCAATTACTTTACCTTGTGTATAGTATCGGAGTTAGAGTTAAAAAGTTCGAATTTTTGATATTATCTCGGGTTAATATATGATGGACCCGTGTTTTTATTTCTATTGACGCATTCGTTTTTAGTAAAATTATATACTTTTCATAGATGGATTTAATGGGAATTGATGAATTTTGATTTCTAATGTGTGCAGTTTCTGGTGGTGTTTACAAGTTTGTGAATAGCAGAGGTCAGGGAGGCTTCCTCAACTGGAATCTTGATTCTTGCTGAGATATATTTCTGTAAGTGCTTACAATTTATTCTAATATTTCATGAGTTAATTACCTTGATTGGACTTGTCTATTTTGCCCTATTATATAAACTCGGCTTCATTAGAAATTTTTTAAAAATTTTAATTTATAAAATAAAAAAAATAAGTTATTAAATTAATTTTTTATATTTAACATTTATTTTAATTTAACCCTTAACCTTTTTTTTTTGTAATTTCAAATGTTTATTTTTTTAATAAAAAATTAAAATAATTAAATTATATTTAGATATCTTAATAACACAGATCAAAAAATTAATTAATTAATTAATTAAATTATTTTTTAAAACATTAAAATATAATCTAATTATTTTAATTTTTCTATTAAAAAAATAAAAAATATTATTGATCAAATTATTAAAAAAAAAATATTAAGGATTAAATAATAATAATATGTGGTGGGCCAAATTAGACTGGTAATAGTGGATGGGCCAATTTAATCCAACTCAAAAAGGGCCCCATTTTACTCAAATAATTCCTAAATAATTTAATTGAAATTTTTAATTAAAATAAAATTTTATATATTCACAAAAAATTATTAACTAATATAATAATAAATTGAGTTAAAAATACCTTTATTATAAATAATCTAAAATAAATAATAATGAAAATTTCAATCCACATTTGACTTCCTTCAACTTTTGAGAGAAGTCATCAAATTAATAAGGTGGTTTTTGAATTGCTTTCACTTGCATGTGCCTATGTTAATATTACTTTATGCACTTATTCATGAACCCCAACTCATATTTGACATAAATTAGGTAGAAATTAATACTAGCTAAGAGAAAATTTAGACAAATGTATATATATATATATATATTTATTTTTATATATATAGTTAAAATCTTTTCCCTTCCTTTTGTTTTTGTTACAATAAAAAAAATTTAACGCATAAATCATTTTTATTGAATTCAATACATCAGAAAGTTAGAATCACCGTACTATTCGAAAATGACGCAGTTATAGCGTGATTGAAAGATCTCTTGATAAAATCTTTAATGTTCTGACTCACTTTTTCTTTCTATCTGATTGTTATGCACAAAAATTTTAAAATTTTAATTGATGTAAGACCCTTATGAAAAGAAAATTTGTGCTTCTTTTATAAATAAGAGAACTATTTAAAATATATTCATGATAATTGAATGTGTTGATAATTATTTTTATTATTATACTTTAATTTTCATAAAATATAATAATTATATAATTTATTTTAAAATTACTCACTGCATCAACGTATTTTTTCTTTAAAATTCTTATTCAACATAATTGATTATAGTGGTTTCTTATTTTAATCTTCCCCTTAAACCCTCAAATATGTGGGATAAGAATTTTTAAGAAAAGTTAGGGAGACAAAAATCATTTAGGCATACCTAACATTTGTCCTATTATTAGAGGCAATTAATCTTAAACAGAAGCTGGTCAATGGTCATAATCATTGACTTGTATCCACAAAATTATAGAATTATAAAATTTTACCACTAAATTTCAGAAAAAATAAAATATATATATATATAAAATTTATATGGAAATCTATGATAATTCAAATAAATTATACAAAAAAAAAGTTATTTTAACTTAATGTATCATCTAATTAAATATATTATTTGATAAATAATAAATTTAATTAAATAATTAACACCGTCTCTTCTTTTATAAAAAATTATAAATTTGATTAGATTTATATTTTTATTTGATGATTTTTATCGTGTTATAGTTGAAGTATGACTATTCTTTTATAAGAAGTTGTGAATTTAATTCGAGTTATATTTTCATACAATTATTTATTTATTTATTTTTTTTATGTTATGATTAGTGTACATATATATATTTATTATAAAAAATATATATATTAAATATGAATTACGATGTCATTGATTAATTCTAACCATAAAATAAAAGGTATTTAATTTTGGGTAACACGATTATCAAAAAATTTATTTGTACAATTTCTCATTAATTATATTTAGTCTCCATCACAATAAATCGCCTAATCTGTTTTTTTTTTTTAATATTTGAATTTACATACACATAAATAAATAAAACATATAAATATAATTTATTTTAAATTTTATCAAAAATTTAAATTATCCTCATCTTTTATTTTAATAAACTTACCAAAAATATCATAATTGACAAAATAAAGTATTAAATTATCTCTAAAAAATTTATCAAATTTTAACTTATATACATAAGAGATAGAAATTTCTTATCTAATAATTAATATTTATGAGCTAATTTTTAAGATAATATATGTTTTCAAATTATTACTAACGTGGTAATTTAAGTGATATTAAACAATTAATTATTAGTTTACGAAAAATTAAAAAAATTAGTTTAGAGATTAATATTTTACTCTTATTTATGTTAATAATTGAACTTAGCATAAAATAAAAAAAAAACTATATTATGGTTGCTCTATTTATCAAACATAAGCTTAAGGAAATTACTCATATAAATATTAATTTTTTTATTTTAAAAAATAATTACTCCCAAGGCTCAAAATATTTTTTAGATTCATTTAAAATTTTTTACAGATCAATTATTATTGTTTTTAATAAATTCACTCGTAGACAAAGTAAATTTATTTTTTAAATACAAAACTAAATTATTTCTCCGGACATGGCTTTATTTTAAATTAGTAGAAATTGATAATTATTCGAATAGTATAGTTGGTCATCATACTAATCTTATACATTAAAAGTTCTCATTTAACCTTGAACTCAAATATTTTCTTTTCCCAATTTCTAGCATTATTCATAATTTTGGAACACGTATTTCTCCCGAGTAATCTTCGTTAGAAGAAAAAGAGAGTACGCTAGAAAATGCCCGACTTCCTATCTCGTCTATAAATTTGAAGTTGTAGCCAAAAACCAAAATCATACTTTGCAATATTCTTTCATTTCGTTACATAAAGGAAGTAGAGAAAAATGAAGAGGTTATCACTTCTTACAGCAGTCTGTGTGGTAATGCTGGTGATGCTAGTGAAAGAAGCGCCTATTGTAACAGGGGCAGTAGATTGTAACCCTTTTGTGTTAATCCCATGCGCACCGGTCCTCTTGGGTCAACCACCAAACACCGAGTGTTGCAATGCACTGAAGACGCTGAACAGTTGTCTGTGTGTCTTCTTAACTGATCCACAGCTTGCACAGTATCTTCCTCTTGCAGAAAAAGTTCTTGCCGCCTGTGATATTCCTTACCCTCAGTGTTAGGTTAAAGAATGATGCAAAAGATATCTATAAGTCATACGTTATGTTATACGAGACTTAATATTTTATTATCATCAGTACTATGCGTATAGATTACGTAATAGTAGTTTGAAATAAAATTCAGTTATATTGTGAGATTATATCTCGACATTAATAAAAAATAATAATATATATATGTTTTTTTAGTAGTATATATACATATATATGATGATTAGATATAGATAAATAGATTACATTGTTTGCGTATAATTATTTTCATATAGATCTAACAAACAAATGAATCAAAGACTCAAGGTAACGTTTGGTAATAAAGTACGGTGTCTCAGTTTCTTATGCGAATGTCTTAACATTTGCTCATCAAACAAACTCATCTAACTTCTACACTCTTTTAGTAGATGTGGTAAACGCATTGTAAAAATTCGAAACTTAAATAGAAATGAATTTATAATTTAAATGCGAAAACGAATAATAAAGTTAAAATTTACATTTCTTACACAATAATTTAAATTTTTCGATAGGATTATGGGAATATTCATTCTAAAAAGCAAATAGTAATTAAAGAAAAAATGAATAAATAAATATTTTAAGACAGTTTTCACTAATACTTGAAGGGAGTCCGGGAGGTTAACTACTTACAACCCTCTTGCTTATCAGAATCTAGATTTTGGGTTTCTTGATATGAAATAGTTAATGAAATGGTGAGCTATACTAGTATAGAAGAATATCACACTAATCACAGATACGGTAAACTGAAAGTTGATAAAAATCAGAAAATAACTAATAGAGCCCATGCATTAAGTAAATATATTTAACTTTAAAATTTTTTACTCGATACTTACCAGAATTTGACCTGTGAATAATTTTAACATTTTAAATATATATAAAAAATATTTTTAAATTAATTTATTTAATTTTTATTGAATTATTAAAAAAATTAGGTTAGAGATAAAATTAAAAACAATTTTAGAAAAAAAAATGAGTGAAAATTTGATTCTGTGGGTGTTTTTAAAAGAAAAATCAGAAACTAGGGGTTAAAGTGCACATAAAGAAAATTTTGCTACGTGAGACCGTCCAATCAGCAACCTCGATGAACCGGAGCACGCCACGTGGCAAAGTACACTAACGTCGATGCCATTCGGGCGATCCGCATGCCCCACGATCGAACGACCCATGATCGATCCCGTGCAAGTAGACGACCCAAATTTGTTCTCCCTTTAAATTCGATCGAACGGTCATGATCAAATCGCGATGAACGATTTATATTTATTTTATCTTTAAACACGATCGGATAGTTGAGATCAAATGCAATAAACGGCCCAAATTAACACGAGATGGGTATAAATATTTTGTATCACACTGAAACTAAATCCTAGTCGACAACCTTGCGCTGGAGAAGAAAAACTAGTCGTCGGAGAAGGGAGCCGACCGCCGACTACCACACCATCAGAGCCACCTCCGACCGCTGATCGCTGCACCACCAGAGTCACCTCCGACCGCCAAAAAATATAAAAATTCTCCTATCCACTCAGAATTTTATTTCAAGCAATCTCATGATTAAATCAGAGTAAAAAGAATGATAGATGAGTCGAAAATCGCGGACAAATCCCACAACCTCCTTCGATGAGCCTCTTCCTATTTTTCGTTTCGTGCGATTGTTCCTGTAACGGCCCCGGAAAATATTAAAATGAAATGAGTATTTAAATATATCGAATGCGGAAGCGAGATCAAAATTTCAGTTAACATCCCTTACACGAAAAACCAAACAGACGTACTTAAAATATAAAAGGTTAAACTAACTAAGAAAGAAAACTCGAAAATAAACTATGCGTATGACTACAGAGTCTCTAGGCATCCCCTTCGTCGTCCTCCTGCGGAACGGGCTCGGGAACCATGTCTTCCTGATCTGAAATGGTTAATTAAGGAGTGAGCTACACTAGCCCAGTAAGAACATCACGATATCTCACCGTCACGGAGATAAAGGTGGGTAGAAAACCACAAAAAGACCAATGGAGCATAATTTACAATAAACTCGTTTATTAACAACAAAACCTTTTATCAATAATAAAACTTTTACCATCCACTTACCTTGGTGGAATTTATGAAAACAATATGAGAAAAACAATAACATTATCATAATCATTGAATAATCTAAGCTGTAAAACATAACACTTATCACGCCTCTTGTAATTCAATCATTGTACAACATATCTTTTTCTCATTTACCAGCTACTAGTATCCGTGGGGGTCCATAGGGGTTCCGCTACCCGTTAACCTTTAACATTCATAATCAGTTTCCAGGGCCGTCCCCATACCCCGTCCGGTATGGGCGCCAAAACCATGAACCTCAATACCCCGTCCGGTATGAGGGTGAAACGGGCCGTCCCCATACCCCGTCCGGTATGGGCGCCAAAACCATAAACCTCAATACCCCGTCCGGTATGAGGGTGAAACGGGCCGTCCCCATACCCCGTCCGGTATGGGCGCCAAAACCATAAGATCTCCATACCCCGTCCGGCATGTGAGACCACAATCCCGGTAGGGTTCCCTACGGACCCGGTCCGTCCACCATCTCCCAGGATATCTAGTCAGGCTGACCCCCATAATACAATTATCAGTTTACACAATCTTTCATTTTTCCTTTTCCTCAATCAGCATCATCAATTCACATTTAAACAAGCAAATCGTAATTCATACCAAACAGACAACATACAGTATCAGTTTTTCAGTCATTCAACCCATAATTAATAAAAACGTAGTGCATGCACACAAATCTGTAAAATGAACACATCAAACCTCATTTTGCATTTAAAGCTGTAAACAGGCCAAATAACAGTAAATCATCAATCACACTAGACTCGGGCTCCATTAGCAACCTTAAGCAATTTCACACATGCGTTAATTCAAGAAATACTGTTTTATCATTTTGAACTTTAATACCGTGATAGGAAATAGGGTGAGGGGTCCTTACTTGTTTTCGGGATCCGAATACGATTCACAGTGCGCCTGCAGGCTGTCCCTAATTTTCCCTGAATTTTTCCCGGGGAACTGAAACACGCTAACAGTACCTGCACGTGTTCCAAAAAAAATCCAAATTAGGCCCAGGGCCTCTTTCGGCCCAAATCGCAACTCCGGCACGGCGGCTCCGCCTCGGGTTGACTGTTTTCGGCCGTTTTTGGCCGAATTCGGCCACACTCGCATTGGTCCTTGTCAGAAAACAACCCTAGGGCCCTCGGGGGGCCAAAAAATCACGGAAAAGCGGAGCTTACCGGCGGCGGCGCTCTCGGGTACGGCGACTCTCCGGCGAAGTTCGTGTTTTGGTGATTTGGCTTCGGTCAACCTGTAGAGAAAAGAATGGTGATCACGGTGATATAAAAATTGCATCGAACGGAGGCCGGGAAGGGCCTCGTCGGAGGCAAAAACCGAGAGGGGGCGCGGCGGCGCCGCTGGGCTTCGGCCGCGTATTCCGACCGTTTGGCCAGGATTTCGGCTTCGATTTGGCCATAGGAGGAATCAGTGGGGAAAAACGAGTCGGGGGTATGAAATTTACCTCGATCGGCGGTCGGAAATTTCCCCGGTGCGGCGGCGAGTGGCGGCGGGTGGCGGCGGTCGGCCTCTGGTTCGTCTTCTCCGGCGAGCGGCTGGCGGCTAGGGTTTTTGGTCTGGTGTGGGGGTTCTATTTATAACCCCTTGCCTTTTGATCACAGCCGTTCGTTTCGTTTTAATCTGGGCCGTTCGTTTTTGATTGAATCTGGGCCGTCCGTGCGTTTGAATCTGGACCGTCCGATCGCGTGATTGATCTGGGCCGTCGGATCGCACCCACGCGGATCGCCAACGTGGCTCCTTTCGGAGTGACGCGAT